AAAAAAAAAAAAAAAAGAAGTATTAATAAAATCTGTACATTTGTGAATCATAATACGTATTTTTATTTGCACATGTAGCCTCTGTCTGCAAACACAGACTTTTAATTTTGATTTACATAAAGTTAGCCGGGCATGGTGGCTCATGCCTGTAATTCCAGCACTTTGGGAGGACGAGGCAGGCAGATCACCTGAGGTCAGGATTTAGAGACCAGCCTGATCAACACCAACATGGAGAAACCCCATCTATACTAAAAATACAAAATACAGCCAGGCATTATGGTGCATATATAATCTCAGCTACACAGGAGGAGAATGGCTTGAACCTTGGAGGCGGAGGTTGCAGTGAGCTGAGATTGTGTCTTGCACTCCAGGCTGGACAACAAGCATGAAACTCCATATCAAAACAAAAAACAACACACATACATTACTCTAAAGATAAACCTTAGGAAAGAAAATCAAAATTATGGAGTAGGTGTGCTTGTATGAATATGAGTTTGTACCTATTTTCAGAAGAAAACACTATTGGAATAAAACATAACATTTTAATAAGGTGATTAATTTCTAAATAATAATCTAAAAATGCTAAAAGCAAGTTTATGCTCTCAGTTTTGTATTCAGTACTGTAAAACCTTATGGCTTATGGTTCAGAATCTCTCCATACAAAGTCTGTTTTTCTTTGCCTGGTACTCATGCTAGATTTATAATTTTCTTGTTTGTTATTTGTTTTATACTTTATGAAGTATCCATTACGTGAGCTGGTCATTGATTATAAGAATGTTAATAAAATTTAGGAATGCACATAAAATTTTAAGGTGTAATTCCATAATTAGTGTGTTTTATTTACAATATTCCATTTTGTTCTTTTAGTTGTAGATGTTTTTGTAAGCCTACTTTTCTTTCTTTAGTTATTGTCCTCTTTCTGTAGAAAACATAAGTAAATTTACTTATTTATTGAGTCTTTTTCTTTTTGTCAAGTAAGTTCTAGGAAAGCTTCATAAGTCATGAGAATGTTTTTATATATAAATGTATCAAAGAAACATGGCTGAGTCCAGGCACGGTGGCTCCCACTTGTAATCCCATCACTTTGGAGGCCAAGGTGGGCAGTTTACCTCAGGCCAGGAGTTCAAGACCAGCCTGGCAAACAAAACCCCATTTCTACTAAAAACAAAAATTAAGGCTGGTGTGGTGGCTTACACTTGTAATCCCAGCACTTTGGGAGGCCCAGGGCAGATCATAAGGTCAAGAGTTCAAGACCAGTCTGACCCCCAATATGGTGAAACTGTCTCTACTAAAAATACGAAAATTAGCTGGGCCTGGTCACATGTGCCTGTAATCCCAGCTACTCAGGAGGCTGAGGCAAGAGAATCACTTAAACCCAGGAGGCAGAGGTTGCAGTGAGCCAAGATTGTGCAACAAAAGTCCAGCTTGGGGGACAGAGCGAGACTGTCTCAAAAGAAAAAAAAAGCATAACAGTGCTTGCTGTGTAACTGATGCTCCATAATAAGCCATAAATAATTCTGCTTAAGTTAGATTGTAACTTCAAGTCAGCTGTTTCTGGTCTTTTTTTTTTTCCCCCTGATCCATTGGAGTGTTCGTTTTTCCTCAATTACCATAGTGTTTT